TTTTTTTTTCTGGAGTTACGGCCGTGAAGAAGGAAACTTTCATAGCAGCACGCACGACTTACTTCCTAACGGCTGCACGTACGTACTAAATCCTCTCCACTCAAACACTCTCCCCGTGGAACGGCCATTCAAGGTACTACTTCACGGGGTTGGTTGGCCCAAAGGCTCCTTACGTATTTGGATGCTCAGCTCGTCTTAATTCTACTTGGATTCGTGTGATATGAGCGCATATTTTCTGCCAGTTCTCGCATGATGCTAACATATAGTCTAGTATGCCGTTGTCCTGTAGTATGTATCGTGTCTGAGGGGCGTAGGGTGGGCACGAGAACATTATGTGTTCCGCATTTTCTCTTATTCCTATGCACCTCGAACAGTACGGGGAGTCGTTGTGCCCAAATCTATTTAGATACTCACGATAAGGACCGTGGCCCGAGAGGAACTGGGTTAGATGGAAACTAGATTCTCAGTGAGACCTATTCAGCTATTTTTCAACATTAGGGACGAGCTTGTGGATCCACTTCCCTTTTTCTGAGTCGTCCCATCGTTTCTGCCAGATTACAATAGAGTGACACCTTTCCACTCTAGTTATTGTCTTTCGCGTTAGACCATCGCTGTGCTCAGACAAACGACCATATATTATATTCATCTCTTGTGCGAGAATGTCTACTGGGACCATTCCAGCGATTACAAAGGATGCTTCGTCAGAAATTGTGCAGAATCCCCAAACAGCTCTCAGTGCACTTAAGTGATAAACGCTTGTTAGTTTCTGTGCGTAGCGTTTTACCTTCATTACTGCCTGAATCGGAGCAGCATAAAGTAAAACTGAGCTGAGAATTCTTCTATTATGTTTAGGGCCACCATCATTAGGCATAATTCTTGACAGATATGCTTGAACATTCGAAGCCTTTTTAGAAGCATACTCGAGGTGGGTCCTTAAGTTTAGTCGACCATCAATCATAACGTCCAGGTATTTAATTGCGGACTTGGAAGTGATGAATTCGGACTCCACGCTAAATCTTATCGTTTCTACGGCTTTCCTGCTACTTATTAGAACTGCCTCTGTTTTGTGGTACGCGAGGCTTAAATTCCTAGAAGTTAGCCACTCTTTTATACTCCCTATAATCTCG